TTTCTTGGTGGGGTCTTTGCCTAGTTTTGGTATTAGGGTGATGTTGGCTTCATAGAATGAGTTTGGGAGTATCCCCTCCTCTTCTATTTTTTGGAAAACTTTAAGGAGAAAGGGTATTATATCTTCTCTGTATGTCTGCTAAAATTCCGAGGTAAATCCATCTGGCCTGGGGGTTTTGTTTTTGGGTAGTTTTTTGATTACCAGTTCAATTTCTTTGCTGGTAATTGGTTCGTTTAGATTTTCTGTTTCTTCCTTGGTCAGTCTTGAAAGGTTGTATTTTTCTAGGAAGTTGTCCATTTATTCTAGGTTTTCCAGCTTGTTAGCATACAGGTTTTCATAGTACTCTCTAATAATTCTTTGTATTTCTGTGTGGTCCATTGTGATTTTTCCCTTCTCGTTTCTGATTCTGTTGATGTGTGTTGATTCTCTTTTTCTCTTAATAAGTCTGGCCTAGAGGCTTATCTATTTTATTTATTTTCTCAAAGAACCAGCTCCTGGTTTCACTGATTATTTTCTATTGTTTTATTCTTCTCAGTTTTATTTATTTCTTCTCTGATCTTTATTATGTCCCTCCTTCTCCTGACTTTAGGCCTCATTTGTTCTTCTTTTTCCAATTTCGATAATTGTGACATTCAATTATCCATTGGGGATTGTTCTTCCTTCTTTAAATATGCCTGGATTGCTATATACTTTCCTCTTAAGACTGCTGTTGCTGTGTCCCACAGAAGTTGGGGCTTTGTGATATTGTTGTCATTTGTTTCCATATATTGCTGGATCTCCATTTTAATTTGATCATTGATCCATTGACTATTTAGGAGCGTGTTGTTAAGCCTCCATGTGTTTGTGGGCCTTTTTATTTTCTTTGTAAAATTTATTTCTAGTTTATACCTTTGTGGTCTGAAAAGTTGGTTGGTAGAATTTTAATCTTTTTGAATTTACTGAGGCTCTTTCTGTAGCCTAGTATGTGGTCTATTCTGGAGAATGTTCCATGTGCACTGAGAAGAATGTGTATCCTGTTGCTTTTGGATGTAGAGTTCTATGTCTATTAGGTCCATCTGTTCTAGTGTGTTGTTCAGTGCCTCTGTGTCCTTACTTATTTTCTGTCTGTTGGATCTATCCTTTGGAGTGAATGGTATGTTGAAGTCCCCTAAAATGAGTGCATTGCATTCTATTTCCTCCTTTAATTCTGTCAGTATTTGTTTCACATATGCTGGTGCTCCTGTGTTGGTTGTATATATATTTATAATTGTTATATCCTCTTGTTGGACTGACTCCTTTATCATTATGTAATGTCCTTCTTTATCTCTTGTTACTTTCTTTGTTTTGAAGTCTATTTTGTCTGATACAAATACTGCAACACCTGCTTTTTTCTCCTTGTTGTTTGCATGAAATATCTTTTTCCATCCTTGACTTTTAGTCTGTGCATGTCTTTGGGTTTGAGGTGAGTCTCTTGTAAGCAGCATATAGATGGGTCTTGCTTTTTTATCCATTCTATTACTCCGTGTCTTTTGATTGGTGCATTAAGTCCATTTACATTTAGGGTGATTATTGAAAGATACGTACTTATTACCATTGCAGGCTTTACATTCGTGGTTACCAAAGGTTCAAGGTTAGCTATTTTAGTATCTTACTGTCTAACTTAACTCGCTTATTGAGCTATTATAAACACTCTGGTTATTCTTTATTTCTCTCCCTTCTTATTCCTCCTCCTCCATTCTTTATATGTTGGGTGTTTTATTCTGTGCTCTTTTGTGTTTCCTTTGACTGCTTTTGTGGGTAGTTGATTTTGTTTTTTGCCTTTGGTTAGTATTTGGTTGGTCTGCTTTCTTTGGTGTGATTTTATTTTCTCTGGTGATATCTATTTAGCCTTAGGAGTGCTGCCATCTAGAGTAGTCCCTCTAAAATACCCTGTAGAGGTGATTTGTGGGAGGCAAATTACCTCAACTTTTGCTTGTCTGGGAATTGTTTAATCCCTCCTCCTTATTTAAATGATAATCGTGCTGGATATAGTATTCTTGGTTCAAGGCCCTTCTCTTTCATTGCATTAAATATATCATGCCATTGTCTTCTGGCCTGTAAGGTTTCTGTTGAAAAGCTTGATGATAGTCTTATGGGTTTTCTTCTGTAGGTGATCTTTTTCCTCTCTCTAGCTGCCTTTAAAACTCTGTCCTTGTCCTTGATCTTTGCCATTTTAATTATTACGTGTCTTCATGTTGTCCTCCTTGGGTCCCTTCTGTTGGGAGTTCTGTGTACTTCTGTGGTCTGAGCGACTATTTCCTCCCCCAGTTTGGGGAAGTTTTCAGCAATTATTTCTTCAAATACACTTTCTATCCCTTTTTCTCTCTCTTCTTCTTCTGGTACCCCTATAATGTGCATATTGTTCCTTTTGGATTGGTCACACAGTTCTCTTAATATTGTTTCATTTCTGGAGATCCTTTTGTATCTCTGTTAGCTTCTATGCATTCCTGTTTTCTGGTTTCTATTCCATCAATGGCCTCTTGCATCTCATTCATTCTGCTTTTAAATCCTTCCAGAGATTGTTTTATTTCTGTAGTCTCCCTCCCTACTTTGTCCATTAGCTCTTGCATTTTTCTCTGCAGCTCCATCAGCATGGTTATGACCTTTATTTTGAATTCTTTTTCAGGGAGATTGGTTAGGTCTATCTCTCCAAGCTCCTTCTCAGGGGTTGTCTCTGTGATTTTGGTCTGGATTAAATTCTTCTGCCTTTTCATGTCAACAGAGGTAGCTGTGGGGAGCTGGCACATGTGTCAGCTGGGAGAACATCCCTTCTTGCTAGTTTGTGGCCTTCCTCTCTTAGGAGAATGGTGACCCCTAGCGGCTTGTACTGGGCATCTGCACAGAGACAGGGTCTCTGATTCTTGCCTGGCCTCTGTGGAGTAAGTCCGTGGTTGCTGTGGGCATGGCCGCATTGGAGGGGGAACAGGTGGGAGGCTGTTTATCACTGTGAGGGACCTCAGAGCTGTGCTGCCACCCAGAGGGTTAGGGCTCTCCGTGTTCCCCAGGATTCCCAGCTGCTGGGCTGGGTGTCCCAGGACGCTTCTGTCCAGCTGTTGGATCCCTGTCCCTTTAAGACTTTCCAAAACTACTCGCTTTTCTTTGTCACAGGGGCGCTGGCTGTGGGGACCCGCTCGCAGGTTTTACTGTCCCATTTCCCTAGTATCCAACATCCCATGCACTGTGTGTCTGTGCTCCCAGTGCGGATGGCTAGGGCTGGATATTTAGCAGTTCTGGGCTCTCTCTCCCTCCCCACTCCGACTCCTCTCCTCCTGCCGGGAGCTGGGGTTGGGGGGGCGCTCGGGTCCCACGGGGCCGTGGCTTGTATCTTACCCCCTTCACGAGGCGCTGGGTTCTCGCAGGTGTAGATGTGACCTGGCTGTTTTCCTGTATCTTCTGGTCTCTCTTCTAGGGACAGTTGTATTTGTTGGGTTTTCAAAAATATGTACGGTTTTGGGAGATTTCCACTGCTCTACTCACACTGCCATCTTGGCTCTGTATTCTGAGCTTTAGATTCTTAAAAGAACACCAATGAAACAGTGATTAATGCATCCACTTTTCAGAATTTTGACGGTCATTCCTACCAAGATCACTGGCCTCTGAGGGAAAGGGGGCAGCAGAGGAGAAGGTACAGTATTACACTGTACAGCTGCTTCCCCAAGTTTTCCCTTGCTTTCACACACATTAATTTCGTCCACTTTCTTTTGGTGTTTGACTTCCTTGAGCCCTAAAACGTGTATCTTAATCAGCTAGACCAACCACGGTAATTCTGTTTTGTTTTTGTGACTGGTCTGGGAAGGGACAAGTGACTCAACCTTCACCAATAAGATGTGAAAGGACTTTGCTGGGTGGGTGGCTTCAAAGAAATGCTTGGTACTGTATTTGTTTTTAAAGCCACCAGAAAAAAAGGCTGATATCTTCTGCTAAAGGTGGTCCTGTGTTCAGATGATGGCTGGCAACATGTGGCAATGGTAGAGCAGAGACAATAAGCCTGGATCCTTGAGGCTGTGATACAGACACTGAGTTAGCCTGGATCCCCCAGCTCTGTACCTATTGATATGTGAGGTCATAGATCCTCTTATCATGTAAGCTATTTTGAGTTGACTGTTTCTTGTAGCTAAAAGCATCATGAGATAATCAAAAATGGTATGTTAAGAGAGGGACTATCTGGACTAGAGACCAGCTTTATAAGTAGAAATAAAGGGAGAGAGATGATAATTATAATCAGGTGAATTTTCTGGAGTGCTTACATCATGCCAGGAACCCTACTTAAGTGCTTTATGTACCTCATTTAATTTTACAACAGTCCTATGAGATACATATTTTATTATCATCATTATTTTACAGATAAGTAAACTGAGGCACAAGGAAATTAAAGAATTTGTTTAAGGTCATACTACTAGTACATTGCAGAGCTGGGACTCAAAGCCAGGCAATCCAGCTCCAGTGCTTGCATTCTTAACTTTTACATAATACTACCTCTAACTAAGGGGACAGATGGTCAAATACCAGACAAGAAAATGGGATGTCTACCAAAGGTACAAAAGAATCATGGAGTCTCTGGATAAATAAGATGTGGTACACAATGGATTATTATTCAGCCATAAAAAAAGAAAAGAAATCCTGTCATTTGCAGCAACATGGATGGATCTAGAGGATATTATGCTCAATGAAATAAGTCAGCTGGAGAAAGACAAATACCAAATGATTTCACTCATTTGTGGAGTACAAAAACAAAGCAAAACAGAAGGAACAAAACAGCAGTAGACTCACAGACATCAGGAAGGGGCCAGTGGTTACCAAAGGGGAGGGGTTGGGAAGGGAGGGAGAAAGGGATTAAGGGGCACAGTAATTCACAATCACAATATAGGTAGGTGACAGGGACGGTAGTACAGCACAGAGAATACAATTAATGACTCTATAACATCTTACTATGTTGACAGACAGTGGCCACAGTGGAGGGAATGAGGACTTGATAATGATAATATGGGTAAATGTTGAACCATTGTGTTGTGTGTGTGAAACCATCATAAGATTGTATATTAATGATACTTTAATAAAAATAAAAAAAGAATCATGGATTCTCATAATTGGAAGGGGACTCAGAAGCTTTCTCATTCAGCTCCAGCCTTCTACATCCATAGTCCTCTGTAAGCAGGTCCTTGAATCATTAGTAACTCTGAAAAATGGCTGTCCTGACCCTGCTTATATATATCTAGTGAAGGGAAAAAGCATGAAGAAGCAAAACTTGTCTTTGTGTTACTTCCTCCTGCTGGCCCCAGTTTAGCTCTCTGTGCAAGTCATAAAGAACAAGCATAATCTTGCTTCCATGTCGGTTCCTTACAGAAGATATTTTTATCTTACTGCCTTTTCTAAACATTTCCAGCTTCTTAAATCAGGTCTTCAAATCACATGATCTTAAATTTCCTCACCATTTTGCTTCTGGGATAAGAGAAGCTATCCTCAATTTAACAAAGCCTAGTAACCAGGGTAGTGAGTGATACTATTCCAAGGTCAAGATCTACTGGAACAAACGCTGAGCTCAAAACCATATTTCTTGAGCTGAGGCTCTCTTCTATTCTCCAAAATAACTTAGTCATTTCCAGCCCTTTAATCCTATGCAGAAGGCTCTTCTCACTCTTGGGGCATAAAGATTCCTGGAAACGAATTTTCCTGGGCCAAAACAAAAGCCAAAGTTGCAGGTAAGAGACAAGACAGTTTATTAACAACAACAAAAGCCTTAAAGAGTGAGAATAAGACCAGTAGAAAAGGGTTAGAAGGCAGGGAAGTAATGTTCACACTGCATGTTTTATTTGGAATAGAGAGGAAATGAAGGGATTGGGAGGCTGTTTGGTGGGAGAAGAAGGAAGGAACTATTTCATGTATGACTTGACTAGAACAAAGCAAAGACATTATGCTCCCAGGAGAGCCTAGATGTGTGCTTCTCTACAACCTATTTGTGCACATCGTACATTTCATCCAGACAAACAGCACAATTTTAAGGCAGAATGTATCCTGAGGACACTGAGTGGCTCAAAGCTAAACAGAGGAGACAGTCAGAAGTGGGGGCCAAGGAGGGGGAGTGAGGAAACAGGATAATGCAGAGGATGATGCCTGGGAGCCAAGATCTGGCATTTTTTTCAGGGAGAATACTGTACATTCTCCATAAATTTTTTAACTGCCAGGATAAGTACCTTCCAAAGCTCAGTGAGATTATATATCCTTCCATCAATCTATAAATAACTTCCTAGGCACTGGGTCAAAAAGAATACATTATATAGGGGACACTCAGAGACAGAAGGGCAGTTTCATTTTCTCCCTTTTTAACCATGGCCAAGTAGAGAGAATACAAGCAAGAAGACAATAACTAGAATTTTAGACAATAGTGACTTACGATTTTAGACAATAGCTAAAAATTCTGACTTACCCTGTGGTAAAATCCCTTTAACTTTTCCAGTCCTTTACTGATTTGTATCTCAAAAATAGATTACTCCCAACTGACAGTTTAAAAATTGTTTAAAATCTAGAGGCTTGGTATAATGGATAAACAAACTGTGGTAATTCATACAATAGAATATTGTTCAAAACTAATGAATGAACTTTTAGTGTTCGCCTTTCCTCTGAGGACACACGCCCAGGGAAGGTGACCCTACCCCTGAGTCCTAGCAGGTGGAACTTAATTAGCTAGACCAAATCATGCTAATTCTGTTTCCTTTTTTTGTGTGACTGGTTTGGGAAGGGAGTGACTCAATCACCACTAGTAAGACATGAAGGAACATTGCTAGGTATATAATGACACACACAATAACATGGATGGATCTCAAAACTATTATGGTAAGTAAAGCAAAGCAGACCCCCCTCCAAAGGAATACTACTATATAATTCCATTTATACCAAGTTCAAGAACAGGCAAAACTAACCTATAGTGATTTAAATAAAAAAATGGTTGCTTAGGATTTGTGGGTAAAACATGAATTGTAAAAAGACATAAGGGATCCTTCAAGAGTGATGGAAATATTCTATCTTGTTTGGGGGTAGTGATTACATGGATGTATACAATATTCAAAACTTACTAACTGAATCCTTAAGACCTGTGCATTTTATTGGTATGTTATTTACACAAACAAACACACACTCAAGAGAGAAAAATGCCCTTGGGAGTCAAGACAGTGAGGACAAAACATTCACAGGGTTAAAATGACAGGTTAGAAACAAAACAAAACAACACTATTGGGCTGCTCATAGATGGCAAGCCTATTCTTAGACTCTTTGACATGGGAATTAGAAGAAAAGGAAAAAAGCAATGTTTATTGAGCATGGTTATGAAGCTGGTCTTTGTGCACTTCAACTCATATTTACCAAGAGTAGTTAACAACTTAACTGGCCCAAGGCCACACCACTACTAAGTGACTGAACCAGACCAGACTCTGGTGCTGATTCCAAAGTCTACATTCTGTCTATGACTTTATTTTCTGTATACATTACTTTATTTAATCCTTACAAGACTCCTTGTTAGGACATATAGAGTAAGAAACCAAAGCTCAGAGGAATTAAATAACTTTTCCAAGTTAATACAAGAGGAGCAAGGGCAAGAGTCCAACAAATAGCTATGTCCAACCCCAAAGCCAAAGTTCTAGGTGTCCCAAGGTGGACATTCAGGAGAACTCTGGGGTGTCAAAAGTGGGATGGGAGGGGTGCCTAGACCCAAGGCCTCTCTTCAGAAAGTATCAGTGGAGGACATATTTTGGGGTTCAAAAATTAGGTTTCTAAACCTAATTTTTAATCTGGGCTTAAATGACTAAATCTTTTAAAAATTTATAGAGAGTATCTTATTTGATCTTCTCAAGCTATAAAATATTATCTATATTTTATAAATAAAATACTAATGGTCAGAAATATTAGGTGAATTGTTCAGAGCCATACAGTACAAACAAGGAGTCAGAATCCAAACCCAGGTCTTCTTGATTGTGTACCCCATGTTCATTCACAACTGTGTCTAAATAAAGGACAAAAAACCAAAGCAGTGTAAGTATATGCCTGAAGAGGCAAATGGCTCAAAAACCCTTGGGAGAGGGACAAGAAAGAAGGCCCTGCTGGGTTATAAATAGGGGATATGGGTCCAATGCTCTCTTCTCTTTAAAGAGAGAAAGCAGAATATGGGGGAATAAAGTGTAAAGCACTCGTGGAACATGTAAGGCTATAGTTATGTGAGTCACCAGGTCCTTTAAGGATCTCAGAAGTCAACTGTCACAGGTTTTACTACTACTATGCCAATACAAAATAATAATGATAACAGTAACTACTGCAGAGAATCAGGGAAGCACAAGAAAGTCATTCTGCTCCACAAATGCAAACGGATTCAAGGTGTGTAAGGAAGACCACAGGAGTTGGCTGGTATCCAGAACAATTCCTTAGGCAAATTCCTCTATAGAAACAAGATTAAAATGTTCCAGACATGTATCCTCTTTCTTTGTTTAGTATCTGTTATGGCTGTTACCTGCCCTGAAATGAGAACT